TTGCGACAGCTGAAAATAAAACTGCAGAAAAGTTGTCTTCACAAAGAAAACTTTGCAGAACACTTACTTGAGTATTTATTTTGTCAAGAAATAAAATGCAACAGCCGAGATCCATTCTGTGAACTTTTAAATGTCATTAGACTGTTTCCCTGTTGGCTGAAAATTCTTAAAAAAAGGCTTTAAGGGGTTTTCATCCGCAGAGAATCCGTTGGCGCCGTTGCATTTTTACTCGCCAAGCTCGCGGTTCATCGACGATGCACTGAGCCGTGAACGTGATATTTTGTAAACATGATTTTTAGTGCATGTAAATTCAAATTAGCAGACAAAATAATATATTAAGCATATGGTAGTGAAAATTAACAGATAATAAGCATGTAGATGTAAAACTAACCAGTTAAACGTGATATACGAAAATAGATTTGTATTAAATTCAAGTTAGCATAGGAAAGAATATATTATTAAGCATAAGACAATATATAAGCATTTATAATGGAAATAATTCCAGTGAACACAAAAAACAATATATTCCTTATACCAGCAGTGGTTTGCTAATTTTGATGACCATGGTGATGCATCAAACTATTCTCTCATCTTAGATAATCAATAATATTTTTTATTTCAATTTAATCATCTATTTATGTCACACCTGCCATCCTCTGAAAGGTTATTGTTAGAAAAGCATTAACAATATATTATCTTGTTAAAATTTTACCATAAAAATTGATTTATTCTCATAATTTTAGATGACAATAACCAATAATAAAAATAAAAGCATTACTTAATTATTTAAAATGCACATGGACATTTTTGCGGTTTACAAAAACAAATTATTTTAGACGTTGGAAACCTCATGGTTGTTACAGCTGTTAATAATTAAGAACACAACGTGAACAGCCGTGTTACAAATTAGCATTCACCCTCCTTTCATCCCTAACCGAGAACCGGCATCTATCTACGAAAATATTTATATCTATTTGTTGTTAAAAAATTTGGAAAAAAAGTAATAATAAATAAGAGAAGAATAATATAAATCTGCAAATTTGAACAACGACAGTAATAATTCAACAAAACGAATGCAAGATGAATGGTTGCAAACTTCGAACAAGCGAATAGGATAAATCTGATAGGTTACCAGGTTTGAACTATTATTGCCAAAGTTGGCGATTTTTACATTTACCGGGTACTCTGCGGAAGTGCTTCCCTTTAGGGCTCTTTTCAGGGCCATACCAATTTAATCAAAGAGATATGACATATTGCAGTAAAAATATATTTATAGATGCCCCTTCGCGATAATTGGCTGTTACATGGACATAGAGTTTGTGCAGTTCTTTGACTTGTGTAGCGTGCACAAACTCGGTATCCATGTAAACAACAACCTATGTTCACTTAAAAAAATATCAGAGAATTGCACACTCCCTCAACTTTAACCATGTACACATTGAACTATGTTCACTTAAAAGTCAAAGGAACAGCCAACACAAAAATATGTATTCTCAATACATTTCAAATCAAACAATGAAATTACACAAAAAGAAATTCATCTTTGCACTACACAAAGGAAATATCTACTTACCTTATTTACAAATTAACATGTCTTCAGTCAAACAAAAATCCTTAGCAGCATCCAAAAACTTCCTAAAATTATCTGAACTAGAATCTGTATACTGGCATCACCTCGTAAATTCACAAAATAAGAATCTTAAATATCATCCATAGCGCCGTTTATCGTCCGACGTTCGACCATATGCATTTCCTTCCTACAAACAGGACATTTAATAATGGCTACTCAGTAAACCTTCATTTACACATCAGTCAAGTAATGTTCTTTTCCCTTTCATTCTAAATTGTACAGAACTTCAAATTAATTCAAAATAATTACTGCATTCAGCCATTTTACTGTGTAAACCACAAAATAACAATGTACTTATCAAAAACCCGACGAACACTTTCCATTAGTTCCCATGGTTCAAGTTGACCGTAATCAATTACGTCATAATAGGGTTTTCATAACATTCAACAGTTCGGGTTACCATAACTGAAACAACAACTTAGCGATAACTAAGGGGCACCCGTAAATCTATTCTAACCAGGCTAATCTTTATTCTACAGTATCCCTTGTTTTTTTGTTTTTTTGTTTTTTTTTTTTTTTTTTTTGAAAAAAATTGACAAGGAGTATTGGTTGTTCGCCAAATCTGGAAGCCTGCCATTCAAAGTGGGTTTTTCGGAAGCTCTGATGTTGATAATGTTAGTGAAATTGCTGGTTACCATGATAGTTTTAACTTTCTGATTTTTTAAGTCAAAATAGATCGATTTGTACATTGGACAAAGTTAAGGCAGTGCGCAATGCCTTGTTTGTGCAATTCTCTGATTTTTTTTTTTAAGTGAAAGTAGATCAATGTGTACATGGACACCAAGTTTGTGTAAGTCTTTGACTTCTTTTTTTTTTGGTTTTGTGTAGCAGCCATTTTGAAATTGTGCGATCTTGGCGTCAAAAAAGAAACAATTCACCAAGGGGTACCATACGATAAATTTTTTCCGATTAGCCCATATGCTTAATATCTGTGAATTTTTGCTTCCATATGCTTAATATGTTGTTTTGTCTGCTAACTTAAATTTGTGTTATTTATTATTTAACTTATTTTGATTATATGCACCAAATATCTCATTTAAGTGGCTTACTTCCATGTGTTTAATATCTGATAACCTTATGTCACTCGTTATCAGCCGTTGGCAAGTAAAAATGCAAAGGCACCAACAGTTCTTTGGCAAAATGCCTGCTATGTATTTAATTATTGATATTCTAATTTGGAGACTATGTTATACTCTCAGTGTTGCCAACATTGCTGTTTCAGCTCTCAGTATTTGGTGTCCGCCCCTTTGTTCCTTGCAACATTTCTTCATTAATTGTGCCAAAAAAGACTAATACTAAAGCTGTTCGGTTTTAAATGTATAGAGATTCACTGAATGCTGATATTTCCATTTCCACCCTGGGTTTGATTTCAGGCAAACAGGCTGGCTGCTTCAGCATTGTCATGATTTTCTTCATGTGTAATGTGTTTACAAGTTAGTTCCCGTAGAAAATCCTCCACGAAGGCATCACTACCATTAGGCAGATAGCCCTTTTATGTATTGCCATTATTAAAAAAAATATATAAATAAATAAATTGATGGCTAATATGAAACTTTGCTTTAAAAAGAAACAGACAAGGGTGGTTGGGAAAGAATGAGGATGAGAAAACTGTAATTGTCTGGGATATAAAAATCTGTTTGCTGGTGCACATATGTTTGTATTGTATAAACTGGTTAGGAAAAGAGAAAGGGTATTCTCTTCTTTGAGAGTCATTCAAGAAATATTCAACCTTTAAATGAAGATGATTAAGAAGGACATTTTTATAAGAATCCTGAAAGAATTTCATTTTCTTAAAATGAAGTCTTTAAAATCATCTGAGAAAGGCCACCAATTTTATTTTGCTTTTAAGCTGAATAATTTAAAATTTTGCAGATTTTATTTTGAATGCTATGTAAAAAATTACTTTAAAGTGCAATTTCATTTTTAAATTGAGAAACACTGATGCAGACAGTACATGACTTCCTTGTAAACCTATTAAATTATGCACATTTTTTGCTGCATATGATTTAAATGGTATTCCTCATATTTAACTTAACCAACCGATATCTTAAAGCAAGTTGAAGTAAAGATATATTTCAAGGGACCCCTTGGCGATTTTTTAGCGCCTTTCCTGATAGCGTTGAATGCCCTCCCCAGTAAAATGGTGTCCAAAACATAAGTAAAACCCAAACTATATAATCTCAATAAACTATTTTAAATCAAACAAGGAAATAACATAAGAATGCAAATGCATGTAGTATAATCTACGCAATTCAAAAGGGAATGATTTTAAAATTTCTGTTTCTTCGGTATGTCAAATACATAGAATTCCTTAACAGCATCCTAAAACTATTTAAAATTATCTAAACTAGCATCTGTATACTGCCGTCGCCGCATAAATTCACAAAAGTAAAAATGAAAAATACTCTGTGGACTATCGATGGCATTTCCTTCGAAAATCCCTTTTTATTACACCCTACATACCTACCATAGTGTTGATATGAGCTCTGGTTTCCAAATCCTTAAATCTGGTTGCTTAGTTTACTGAGAGATGAATGAAGCCATTTAAATCTTTATTTAAACACCAATCAATTAATGCTTTCCTTCCCAATTGTTCTAAAGTGTACAGAAACTTCAGAACAGTCGTACCACCAGTAGACAATTTATGGCGTAAAGCACAAAATAAGCGTACTTCCTAATCAACATCCAACACAAATAAGCCTTTACAAATATTTCCCCTCAGTCAAATTCACTGCAATCACACAACTAGTAACGTCATATAACATTCAGCTACTCAGGCTACCATAAATGAAATAACTTGGCAATAAATGAAACAACAACTTGGTGATAATCCAAGGGGCGTCCTAAAATATAGACTAACCTAAGTTGAAAATTGCATCAAATATTACAAATTTTTAAATTAAATATCCTGCTCAATTTTAATACAGGGTCAAACTGCTTGTGTTTTTAACTTTCATAACGAGTATAAAACTTTCCCAGATTTAAGCATAGGAATCAGGAACTGTGTTAAAGGTTAGATTTCATTGTATGTTCAAAGTTAATTTTTTTTTTAATTTGAAATTCTCAAAACATGAATATTTTCATCATTTAAATAATTTTGTCACTGGAAGTACATGTCTACGACCACTGATTGTGAAAGTAAAAGGCTTGACAAAAAGTTTTAGGCCGGGTAAGGTGGGTTGGTATAAATATGTTTATATTCTATATGTATTGTATTTGATACCACCATTTGCAATAAAGAAGAGAGGTGCACAACTAAGTGTTATTGCAGTCCTGTATACAAAATTTTAACGTTCTGTGGCTAATGATTGAATTATGCAAGATAAATATCTATGTACAGATGTTGTGAAAAGATTTATTTTACAGTCTGTTCTAGAATAAAAAATTCTTTATTCTGTCCATATGTACTAATGTCACATAAAAAAATAGTCAAAATGGATATATCCACTGAAATCTGAAATTTTTCATGAATTAATGCTTCCTTTCGTTTTCTTGAGATTGAGTCTGTTAGGTATCAGGCACCTCTGCTAAATAGCATTTTATGCCAAACTCACCAAATCCAATGCTTCCTAGCTCCATTTGTTTGGGTTGCCCACTTTGTTTATAAAGTCTAATTACCCGTGACTAGAGTCAGGTGTAACTCTTTACCTAACATAGTCAATGTTATCAGAAGTTCAAAGCCAGTAGCCTGTTCCTCCAATAAACAATTTTCAGGATGTCCCTCAATGAGTATAGCCATCTTGACCACCGTAAGAGCCTTCCTGAAGGTATAACCTTCAGGTCTGTCTCTTCGGGGCTGTATTCTGCTCCATTCTTTGAGACTGCCCTTTTCACCTTTCTCGTTGGGTTTTTCAACCCTAGTACCTTTGGCAATTTTCAGTTCTTGGGCATGTTTCTATTTTAGTGCTCCGGACATTCCCTTTTTGATTTTGATTTTATCTGGAGAAGCAGTCATGCTTTTAATAGCTTCCTTCCTTTCTCCAGATGTTGGGTGACTTGAATAGAGGTCATTTCTACTTCTTCAATTGATTTCCTCTGGGTTTCCTTGTTTTGAGAAGAAATGTCTACCTCAGAGGTCTTGCCTGCAAAAGCAGAATTTCTAGTTATATTGTCATATTCCGCCATATATAAATTATAAAAGAAAGTACAAGGTAAAAAGATCTATCCAATATTGCCTGTTGCTGTATAAGACAAAATACTCTAGAAGTAGCCTAGCATTCTAGAGGCTCCGTTAAGACACTGTGATAAGGTCGCATAAAGGAAGAAGAAACTGAAGATTAATATGGACAAGGATGTCTCGTGAGCATAAGATGAAAATTATTATTATTTAACTTCCGAATACATTTTCAATAGTTATTAAAATAGTTGTTATTAAAATAATTAAATTGTTGTCAATGTTAAACATGCAAGCTCAAGAGCCATGTATTGCTCTTGCACATAAAATGTATAGAATTTGATTATTTGATTTTAAGAAAAAGATTTAGGCTTTTCTCTTGTTGATTGTATGTAGCCATTTTTTGGGATGTTCAATAAAATTTTCATGTGGTGTTCCATCATTAGCGTTTTCATTGGAGTTCAACACCACACCATTGAAGCATTAACACTACACCATAACTACAGTGTCATTCACCCTAGGCACGGGTTGCATAACACTAGTGTAACAGGAGAGAGTTTGTGGCTTCTTATTTATTATTTGAATCTATGCTGTCAGATAATACAGGACATCGGCTATGTCCCACCTGCCAGCATGCCTGATAGCCACTGAAGCCCCAGGGTGCTTTTCCCTGACTTCATACAAGAAAGTAAAAAGTAATTTATGCATTATGTAAATACCTGGACTTGAGTACAAGCAATTTTAATCTCATAAAAATTCTACACAGTTGTTCCCTGAAATAAAAATATATTTTCTTAACAGTGAGAAAAATTGAAAATTGTATGTATATAAATAAACTCGACCGAAAATACTTTCAAGGACTTCTTTCAATTTATTATATAGTTCTGAATTTTTATAATTGAAGTTGCTTTAGAATAATCTTATCTATTCTAAAAGTTAATTAATATTCTTTCATTGCCTTAAAATTTTACAAAACTTGCAGCAGTATTTGTTTTAAAATATGTTCTAGTAGCAGAAAAAAAAAATTCTACACCAATAGGCAACAATCTTTTGTGCACATTAAAGCTTGGCAGCATCTTTGTTTTGATTATAATAAGCTACGCTTACAATATACAGTCAAAAGTCTTTAATCCGGACGTCCATAATCTGGAATGATCTATAATCTGGACCTCAAAGCTACAAACTTTCTGCGCATGCGTTTACGCATATGCATACAGTCAAAAGTCGTTAATCCAGACTCGTCGGGACTTCGGTGATTCCGGATTATAGATCATCAGTTTAAATCTGGTAAGATGGCATGCAGAAATTATAAAATTAAAAATATGAAACCGTAATTTATGAAATAAAGAACAATTATGATCTAAAGGGTATCAAAATTTTTAAAAAAGCTTAATATTTATTTGTTTACTTTATTAAACATTTCTTTCAATGTAAGTTGTTTAAGTTACTTCGTTTTATGTGATAATACTTTCTCTTTAATTCTATAAACAGACATAATTTCTTCTTCAGTTACAAAGTTCCGCTGTTAAAGTCCTATAAATTGCTGTGTCGAAAATACCGACTAATTTGTCAATTGAAATTTTTTCGTTTTCAATAACCTCTGTTACTTTCTTCGCTATAGGAAGCGAATTATAATGACGAGGAATTTGATTCAAAGATGGAGTACATCGAGATGAAATACTACATTTAATAAGGAATTATAAGCCAAATAAAATGAAAACATCTGCTCTGAAGATAAGGATAGTGCTGACAGATCAACTTCCAATTCATTGCTCGGCGTTAAAGATAAACAAACGTTAAAGTTTAGATAAACAAAGGATATGCCTTTATCCATTTTTTGTAGCAATTCCACTTTTTGCTTAATGAACTTCGAAACATACTTTCGCTTTGTAGATCATTTACATATTAATAAATATATATCAGAAATTCTATTTGACATAATCGAAAGTTCAAGCTTACTTTTATAAAATTGCTCTAACAGTCTGCAAAAAATAATAAGCCGGATCCAATTCGAAGATTAAGAAACAACACAATCTGCAACATTAACTGAAATAGATAATTAAATAAGCTCCGTCCGTTATACGTTAAATGCACACTCATAAACGTATTTTGCACACGTGCACAAGGATATTCTCAGCCGTAAAGGCCTTCGCATCAACGTGACGCATGCGCAGAAAGTTTGAAGCTTTGAGGTCCGGATTATGGGTGTCCGAATTAACGACTTTTGACTGTATTATGCATGTGCGTTTAATGTATCACGGACAGTATAAGCTAGGCTAAAATTATCTAATTATCTATTTCAGTTAATGTTGCAGATTGTGTTGTTCCTTAATCTTCTAATTGGATCTGATGTATTATTTTTTGCAGACTGCTAGAGCAATTTTATAAATGTAAGTTTGAACTTTTGATTATGTCAAAAAGAATTTCCATTTCTAGAGCTGCCAAAGGATCTACAAAGTGAAAGCATGTTTCGATGTCCATAAAAAAAAAAAAGTGGAATTGCTGCAAAAAAGGGATAAAATCATATCCTTTGTTTCTCTAACCATTCCGAAATCTGTTTATCAATTTCACGCTGCTCTACAGGGGGGGGGATGTTGCAGCGCACAATGAACTGGGAGTTGATATGTCAGCACTTTCCTTAACTTCAGGGCAGATGTTTTTATTTTGTTCGGCTTATAATTCCGTACTAAATGTAGTATTTCATCTCGATGTACTCCGTCTTTGATATGATTTAAATCAAATTCCTCGTCATTATAAATATCACGAATACACATCAAACAGTTTTCTGGTTGCAATTTTCTAATTTCGACTATGCATAATGTATGCTTTACGCATGCGCACATTGAAAGAAATGTTTAATAAAGTAAACAAATAAATATTAAGCTTTTTTTTGTAAATTTTGATACCCTTTAGATCATAATTGCTCTTTATTTCATAAATTACGGTTTCATATTTTGAATTTTATAATTTCAGCATGCCATCTTACCAGATTTAAACTGATGATCTATAATCCGGAATCACTGAAGTCCCAACAAGTCCGGATTAAAGACTTTTGACTGTACCACAATCTAGGAAATGACTCAATAATATAATTATTGTAACCTATTTGTGTTGCTATGCTACCAACATATTTCCACTGAGAAATCTAAAGAAACCGCATGCAAAGAATATCCACAGATGATGCACGTGATTAAAAATGTTTTTCAGTTATTCTGTAAGTTTTGACTAAAAAAAAAATTCAAAAAAAAAAAAATGGCAAAAAATTCGTTCAAAAAAATGGCGAGATTTCTTTAAAATCTTCACTACATTATGTAGGGAATAGTTTTTCTGTATGTGTAATTATTTTGTTCTAAAAAAATTCATATTTTATTTAACATGTCCTTCTTTTGTAGCCATTTATACCTGAAGAATATTTCATTCACAATTATTTTCCTTCTACTGAGATTGCTGTGGGAATACCTATTTGTATTGGAGTTATTATGAGTACTGGATTAGGTAAGTTTCTTCAGAATTTCTTATTATCCCACCACAAAACAATAAATAACAATTTGTCAAATCTTGGCTCTCATATTGGCAAGAAATCAAAAATTGCCACCTTAGTAGCTGTATCAAAATGTAAACAGCAGTTTAATTTTTAAATCATGTTAGGAAATTTTGCACTTTTGCTTGAACTATACAAATACATCTTATAGATTACAAAACATAATAGATATTCCTCAAATTTTGAGGAGAAATATAAATATGATAAATGATAAATGAATAAAGGAAATACTACAAATGATTCAATGAAAATAAAACTGACACTGATTCACTAAGTAAAGGGAAATTTAGTGGGACATGGTATTCTTCATATTGCTTAGGTATTAAAAAGTATGAGGTATTTGTATATTAGAGGGCATCCATAAATATTTCATCAGAAATGGCATCCTCAGCTCTGATTTTTGGGAGCATTCAGTAACTCTTGTGTTCTGGATTTTCACAGAAATATTAAACTCTATTTCTTTTCTTTTTTATGTTCTCTCTCTTTTGGGTTGGGCTAAATCACCAGCAATGAAGTTTATGGCTTTGGTAAAGGATTCCGTTGATTTGCATGTGAAAAATCATTTCAGTCTCTATTTTGTATATTTTCTATGATCATTTCCCATCATATGGCGAGAGCTTAAATTTCTTTTCTAATCTTTGAATTTTTTCTCAGGTCTCTCATCGACAACAGAAATTTCTTAAATAACATCCTCAATTTCTGTTTTGATTTTTTCCTCAACATTGGCCATTCATTTGATTCACAATTTTCTCTTCCACAGTGGCAATGTATTCATTAATTTCAGTAATATTTGCTGTGATGGAATTCTTCATCTCAGAGAGGGCCATTGAGGTACTTCCCTTCATTTTAGTGGAATTCGCTGCTACTTTCTTTCTCATCTTTGATGCATTCACTTTGACTGTATTCTTCATTTTGATGGAACTTCTAGTGATCATTCCTCTCATATCTTCCTGGTTACTGGCATTTGAAGAGATCCCACTTCTAGAGGTGTATAGCGTATTATTTTTGACATCTGAACAAAATCTGAATATCCTTAAAAAATTCCATGGATTCATGAATCTGTTTTATCAGATTATATACCCATATACACAGGATGGAACTATATCTGCACATTAATTTTCCCATGTACTTCGTGTGTATTGGTCTGCTCTGTGTGGTATTCCAAGAAATCGTCTGCCAAAATTGAAAATTCCATATGAATGTAACAGTTCCTTTCATTTGCAATCTTAAGGTTTGGTTTTCTTTGGGAACACAAACAAATGTCCAGACTTTTAATACTTGTAGCGAATTATCACTGATTCTGACAAAATCCTGAAAAGATTAAAAGTTAACCTTTGATTAGATCAGACTATTAATAGAAGATCACGTCTCATGCGTGACAAACTCTGCCAGTTACTTGTGGTGAGATAACTTAAAATAACTATCAT